GTTAAGGTAGATGATCATTTACAGTGTAATCAGTGAGGGGATTCTGCACACTGTTGAGGGTTCAGCCTCCTGATGAGTCGGTGAAACTCCGACGAAACAGTTTGTCACAGCCCCTCGTTTGTTGTCCTCTTCTCTCTCTTTGCCTACGGTTTACCGGGCAGTTCTGTTTGTGACGATATATGTGTGTGTATATATGTATATTATATATTATTATATATATAGATGTATAGATGAAGGTGGATTATTACTTAGTGTAGTCAGTTAGGGGATTCTGTAGACTCTTGAGGGTTCAGCCTCCTGACGAGTCAGTGAAACTCCGACGAAACCGTTTATCACAGCCCCTTGTTTCTTGTCCTCTTCTCCCTCCCTCTCTGCCTACGGTTTACCGGGCAGTTCTGTTTGACGATATATATATCGTCAAACAGAGCTGCCCGGTAAACCGTATATATATATATATATATATATATATATATATACCTCGTTTGTTGTCCTCTTCTCCCTCTCTGCCTACGGTTTACCGGGCAGTTCTATTTGACGATATATATATGTGACGAAGTATATGTATATACATAATATGTATATATATAAAAAATGTGTATATATAATATGTATGGACATATACATATTGTTAAGGCCGGGCGGAACCTTGTTGTACCCATCCGATCCATCAGGTTCGAGCTCATAAGCAACAGAGTCGACAGAGCTACATGTGTGTACCACTCAGCCGCATGGGCTATTATGCAAATTCACCTTTTTCGCTATTGGCACTCCCAAGGAAAAGCTGTGTTGTCACTGTTTGTTGTGAATCAGGATTAGTGTAGTTTTCCTTTCTCACTCCCTTAACTATTCCTTCCCTGTCCTCAGGCCTCCCGTTTTCCTCTGCCTGCGGTTTACCGGGTAGTTCTGTTTGACGATATGTCTGTTTTTGCATAAGTAGATTCGTGTATATATATTATATCTACAACATACGTAAATATATCTCACCATAGAGAACTGCCTAGTGAACCATAGGCAGAGAGGGAGAGAAGGACAGGAAATGGGACGATGTATATATGTAAATATATAGATAACGGGGGGGCTGTATATATGTGTATCTGGGACTTTTTTTGATTTCTTTGCAGACAAGAATGTTTTGACGTCCTGGTTGGTCTTGTCCCGTCGTTTGGCCTGTGTAGGACTGGGGCGGTGCTTGCATGTGGGACTTGTCATCTGGGATCTGTTTTGTTGCCCCCTGTTCTGTTTTATTTGGCTGTTCCCTTCCTCTTTTCTTTGCCTCTTTGCCTTTTGGCTGTGTGCAAGTGGGTCGATATGACACACGGGGGTGGGGGCAGCCGCCGCTCAACCTACATCCACGTGGGCGGCCTTGTACGCAAGAGGTTCTGAACAGAGGGAGTTATAAGGAAGATGATAAAAAACTGAATTCATTTTTTCCTGTTTTTCTTTCTTTTTTCCTTTTTGTTCGCATTTGCGCTCTGATACTCTTGTGACAATATATAGATAACGTGGGGGCTGTATGTAGCCAGGCGCATGCTCTTCCTTCTGACAGATTTTACCTTCTTTCTTTCGTTTCATTTTTCTTCTCTGTTTTTTCTTTTGTCGGCCATTTCTCCCTCATGTGGAATGGCATTTGTGTATTGCGGGGGCCTCTGTTGTGGTTCCGTTTCTTTTTCTCTTTTTTATTATATTTGGATTTGGATTGTTGTGACTCCGTATCTGTTGGTAGTATCGAAAGCTTTATCTGTCCTACAAGACTACAAGTGAAGTTTGGTTTCCTCCTCCCTTTCTTTACCCCTTTGTCCTTTTGGCTGCGTGCAAGTGGGTCCTTGTGACACACGGGGATGGGGGCAGAGCCCCTGCTCAACCTGTCTGTCATCCACGTGGCCGGCCTTGTACGTAAGAGGTGATGAACAGGCGGAGCTTTCCTTCCTTAGTTCTTCTTTCCCTTTAAATTCTGTGTTTTTCTTTTCGCCTGTGCGCCCCGATACACTGTGTGACGATATATACCGTCAAATACACGTGTGTATATAAAATGACGAGTCGGTGAAACTCCCACGAAACAGTTTGTCACAGCCCGTCCCTCGTTTGTTGTCCTCTTCTCCCTCCCCTCCCTCTCTGCCTACGGTTTATTGGGCATCTCTGTTTGACGATATAGATATCTGTTCTGAACAGGGGGAATTGCAAGGAAGAAGATGAAAAAACGAATTCATTTTTTCCTTGTTTTCTTTCTGTTTTTTTTTTTTTCGTTTTTGCGCTCTAATATGCTTGTGACAATATATTTAAAAAAAAAAAAAAAAAATGTCACAGAGAACTGCCCGGTAAAATACATGTACGTACATCACGGTACATGTATACATGTAATACTATACATCTCTATATCTCTATACACATCTCTATACATATATACAGTCAAAAAGTGTGTGGACATGGCGTTGTCGACAATGTCGAGACAGGCAAGCATTCGATTCCGTCTCCTGTCAGCCTTTATATGCTAGGAAACATTGGCTTCAACCTTTCTTTATATGCTGGGAGATGTCTGGGAAACGTTATTTTGGAGAAGCCTGGATTCAAGGCGAACAACACTCCGATTTAGCATCCAGGGGCCGCTGCTTTGACTTTTCACGTCGCCGATGACCTAGTGTGTTCTTCCATTTGGTTTTCCCCCTTTTGTGAAGTTTTTTCGTTTATTTGTTTTCCCTTATGTAAAGGAATATGTTTCGGTCTATTTGGTGGGGACCAGCCAGGAGAAGACTCTTCGCGCGCCAGTCTTTTTCTTGCCCTCCCATCTTTCCTAAAATTCGCAGAAGCTTCCGTTGCATCTCTTCAGAAGCTTATGTTTAATCTCTCTCTTTGTTTCCCCCCCCCCCTGGATCCACGTTTCTCTCTTGGCTGACTGTTACCTCTCTCTCTCTCTCTCGTCTGTCTGTCTGTCTGTCTGTCTGTCTCTCTCTCTTGCGCGCGTATGTGTCTCTCTCTCTTTCTCTCTCGTCTGTCTCTGTCTGTCTCTCTCTCTCTCTCTCTCTCTCTCTCTCTCTCTCTCTCTCTCTCTCTCTCCT